GAAGGGGAACAAAGAGAGGGAGAACTTTCCACACTGAAGTGGATCAATTGCTCCTAGATGGGAAATTTTGTTTCATGTATTGACCACTGAGTGTATGTTAAAGAGGAAGAAGCAACCTCTGCCCGGTGTCTTTAACCTTTGCTCTTGCTTCTTACCCTTAGAGTAGCTCATGGAAAGAGGGGTCTCTGGGCCGGCAGCTGCATCAGCATCACCTGGGAACTTGTTAGAAATGCAAATACTACTGAATCAGTCACTCTGGCTGTGAGACCCCGGGAGATCTGTGGCTTAACAGTCCCTCTGATGATGATTCTGATGTGGATGATGTTTGAGAATCCCTGCCCCAACTCCAGCAGCCATAGAAACTAACAGATTAGGTCCCCTTTGTTGACTCTCACACACTTCTGAGGATATTACAGCATAGTCTGAACCGTGCGGTAGTCAGAAGTGTGTTCAGTACCTTCTGGTGTCAGGACAAAGACAGAGGCATCCCATTCCCCACCAGCTCACCTAAATGTTACTTTACTTTGCTTTCTATTTTTTTGGCAGGGGCCGGGGTGGGGAGTTGTTTTTTGAGACAGTGTCTCACTCTAGCTCGGGCTAGAGTTCAGTCATGGTTCACTACAGCCTCAATCTCCCAGGCTCAAGTGATCTTACCACCTTAGCCATCTGAGTAGCTGAGACCACTGGTGTGTGCCACAATGCCTGGCTAAGTTTTTAGTATTTTTTTGTAGAGATGAGGTCTTGCTATATTGCCCAGGCTGGTCTCAAACTCCAGGCCTCAAGCAGTTTTCCCACCTCAGCCTCCTAAAGTGCTGGGATTACTAGACATGATCCACCATATCCAGCCTATTTTGTTCTTTCATTCACAAAGATACACCACTAAAGATGCCAGGGCCATTATCTCAAACCTGCCCCAAGTTATTACAAGGCACATCTCAAGGTTGGAATAAGCTCCTTTTCCCAAAACAGACCGGGATTCTGCCAGGACATGGGACAAATCATGCTGAGGATCAGATACCTCTTGTCCTTCTCTCTCCCTCGGGGGAGCCACTAGGCCTGCAGGTGCCCATTTTAGGTACAAAGAACTTTGTAAGGCAGGTGAGCGCATTGTCAATGTGAAGTAAGTACCAGTGTTAATCATAAGGATGAGGGTGGTGTCCCTAGAGGGGATGTTTCATAAGGGGTTAGAGAAACTCCTGTTCCTGGCCGGGCACAGTGGCTCACGCCTGTAATCCCAGCACTTTGGGAGGCCAGAGTGGGCGGATCACAAGGTCAGGAGTTCAAGACCAGCCTGACCAACATGGTGAAACCTCCTCTCTACTAAAAATACAAAAATTAGCTGGGCATGGTGGCACTTAGGAGGCTGAGGCAGGAGAATCGCTTGAACCCGGGAGGCGGGGGTTGCAGTGAGCCAAAATCACGCCATTGCACTTCAGCCTGGGTGACAGAACGAGACTCTGTCTCAAAAAAAAAAAAAAGAAAGAAAGAAAAAGAAAAAGAAAGAAAAAAGAAAAACTCCTATTCCCAGCTTCCCCTAAGCTTTTGGGCTCTGCTAGCATCTTGAATGAGGCCTGGCCTGTGTGTTCATGTTGATGAGTCTTCATAGCCCCCTGATCTACCTGGGTTGTGTGTGTGTGTGTGTGTGTGTGTGTGTGTGTGAGAGAGAGAGAGAGAGAGAGAGAGACAGAGAGAGACAGAGAGAGAGGGAGACAGACAAAGACCGAGACCACGAGAGTTATCAGCTTGCTGGCTCTGGGTTGAATACCAGTTACCTTAACTGTGCCCCTTATTTTCCCTTGACTCACACAAGCCGCTTCTGTTTGATTCACATAGAACCGTGAGAAACAGTCTCGTATGTGAGGCTGTGTTTTTCATTCTATTCAGTCTTTGTATATTCAAATTCTTCTAGTTTCAGCTCTTGCTGTTCTGCCAGATTTCCATCGCATTGATGGCTTCTCTGAATTAATAAGTGTTTTGCAATTGCTGAAAAGTTTTCTACCCCCAAGCACTGGGACTTATCCATATTGATTTTTTTTCCCTTTCTCTTTCCTCTCTAGCTCCTTCTTAGACGTTGTATTTTGTAACGTGTTAATAGAATTTTTCGTTCGCCCTGACACTTTATCTATTCAGGAGGTCTTTGCGAGCCCCATTGTACAGCGGGACTACAGAGGAAAGAGCTCTATTCTTTACGACAATGGTTGCCCTAAAAACATATACAGATCCTCCCCCACGCTCACCAGGGTGGAGCGAATGTTGAGAGGGCAGTATTAGAAAACGTCCAAACTTAGGAAGGAAAAGGGGAGCCAATTATGCACTGTTGAAAGGAGGTTTTGAAAATACATTAAAAAAAAAAAAAATCCCAAACATTTATTTCCTAAGGGACTCCGAGTCCCAGTACCAAAACGTGGCCAGCACAGAAGGGTGGCTGTTTTCCTTACTGTTAGGCATTTTCAGTTCAAAATAAGGATTTGGCAAACGTCTTGGAAAATATGGAGATGGGTGCAAAACAGATGTCACATTTACCTGCGTGATACCCGGCAGGCCTCACCCCCCACCCACCCACACCCCAGGCGTTCACATTCCTATCGAGTCCCAGGGTCTGAGTCTGAGATACCATATGCTCGAGTGTGACTGCTCTGTGTACAAACACACCAGTTGATCTTATGGTGATTTTGCGTGTGTGGTGCATGGGAGGCGGAACGGCTGTTGTGTATGTGGCCCCAGCAGGTACCTGTGGGGGGCTCTTGAAGCCCGCCCAAAAGGAGTTTGTCCTGCCTTGGATGGGCATGGGGACAGGGTGGTGAAGGAACACCTGTTTTAAGGGATCTCCAAACTAGCATTGCCCACTCCCACCATCCTGGTGCCTGGGAGAGAGAGGGCAGCTCCCTGCTGGAGGAGCCACCATGCCAGGCCATTTGCCTCCCAGTAACTGACTTCAGAAATGGGGAGCAGAAGGGGAAGGCCCCGGGAGCCTGTTTGTTCAGGCTTGGTTGCCTAGCAACAAAAGGGGGCCCTGACTTGAGAAGAGATTTTTAAGCCAGGCCATTCCCTTTGAGGTTTATGACCGGCTTGCCTACCCCCATCTTCCATTCTTACCTTGACTTTGCTCTTCCCCCTATTATATTTGATCGCATCTAGAAAAATACATTTGATTTGTCTGCAGGCACCATTTTAAACCTCGGTTTATTGCTTTGCCCAGTGTCTTCCCCTCCATTGGAGATTGTAGTCTGGGAGGAGTGAGGCATGAATAGCCCACGACTGCTTTCCTCAAAGGGATTAGCGCCGGCCCCCAAGCTCATTTGTGAGCCTTTGAGTGCACATCAACGGTGCTCGGTCCTTCTCAGCCACAGGCACACAGTGAAATTGCTCTGAGGACAGGGCCCCCCGTTAACAGTTTTACCCACCCACAGCCACACGGGTTGGGTTGTGTTTTTACCGTCAACCTTGAGCACAGAGTGAATGAAGAGAGTAGGCTGCACGCTGGTCAGACCAGGTGCCCTCCCCCGGTGAGCAGCTGAAGGGTGAAGACAAACGCCTGTGCTAAAGATGTGTACTCTGTAGGATAAAGGAGTGGGTCATAAATACTCATAAAAGGAGTGCATTCCAGAGCGGAATCTGGTTCATTCAGTGTGAGTTCCTTGAGCTCTCTGTGGGAGTTGAGTGTGGACCCTGAAATCTTACTGCCAGAAATATCCAGAAGGGGTTACAGGATGCGTGGGAGGGGTCTGGAAGGGATTAGCAAGAGAGACAGAGGATGCCTTTGGTATTTTATTATGTTCTTCTCTTTGATGTTTTTAAAAAGGTCCTAGCATCAATATATTTGTTTGCTAGTACTGCCATAATAAAGTAACGCAGATTGGAGGGCTAAAACAACAGAAATGTGTTTTCTCACAGTTCTGGAGGCTAGAAGTTCAAGATCAAGGTGTGGCGGGGTTGCTTTCTTCTGAGGCCTCTCTCCTTGGCTCGCAGATGGCCCGTCTTCTCCCTGCGTCAGCACATGGTCTTCCCTGTTTGTGTTTGTGTCCTAATCTCTTCTGATAAGGACATCAGTCATATTGGATCAGGGCCCACCCTAATGATCTCATTTTAAATTAATTACTTCTTTGAAGAACCTCTCTCCAAATACAGTCACATTTTGAGGTCATAGGGGTTAGAACTTCAACTATGAATTTTGGGAGATAGTTGAGCCCATAACAATCAGGATGTTCAAGCTTCATTGTGTATCACTAAAAACAATTCGTATATCCATTAGAAGGGCAATAATTAAGAAAGCTATGGCTTCTTACGCTGGGAAATATGCATCGGTCAAGATAGTATACATGATATACTAACCTGGGAATTGTTTGCCATGTTGTAATGTCACGGGTTAACAAAAGGAAAAATTCCATATACTATATGATTTAAACTATATTGAAATAGGTGTAGTTTTTTCTTTCTTAAAAAAAAAAAAAGACAACTCTAGGCCCAGAGCAGTGGCTCACACCTCTAATCTCAGCGCTTTGAGAGGCTGTGGCAGGAGGATCACTTGAGCCCAGGAGTTCAAGACCAGCCTGAGCAACACAGTGGGACCCTGTCTCTAAAAATAAATAAATAAATAATTACAATAAAAATAATAAAAATAAAAATAGCTGGGCATGTTGTAGTTCCAGCTGCTCAGGAGTCTGAGGCAGGAGGATCACTTGAGCTCAGATGGTCGAGGCTACAGTGAGCCATGATGGTGCCACTGCACTCTAGCCTGGGTGACAGAGTGAGACCCTGTCTCCAAAAATAAAAAGCAGACCCTGAAGGGAACTATATAAGATATTAACTGTAATTGTGTGGGGTGGAAAGGCCACTAATTTTTTTTTCTTTCTACTTTTTTGCATTTTCAGATATTTTTTGATAAGCAACTATTACTTCTATAATGGAAACTACCCCCTCACCCCTCCCCCATGCATATAATGTTTTGTGTACTTTCTTAAAATTCCTAAAGCAACCTTTATTCTATATTTGTTTTGCAGGTGGAAGATGCAATGCTGATGTTTGATAAAACTACTAACAGGCACAGAGGTAAGATTACCCCAGTGTAAGAGGGTTGAGTTCACCCTCTCCTGGCCTCTCTCTCTATCATCCCCAGTCTCACTGACAAAAGATCCAGTGAGAGTCCGGAGTCAAGCAGGTAGAGGTGACCGTCCTTTGAAGATCTCTATTCACAGAGGGTTCCAGTAGCACGAAGAGTTCCAGAACTGGATAGTTGGAAAACCATTTCCTTCTGGCTTGGGAACTCCTGTTTGGTTATGCAGCCATCCCCAGCACACACATTCAGATATACCTCTCTAATCCCGCCTTTCTTGGTCCCTGGCTAACCTTGGCACTAAGCAATCCAAGGGGAAATTATTCACAGCAGTGACTCAATTGAGTTATCAATTTGCATTGAAGGAGGTTCTTTAGGAGCAGACTGTCAATCTAAAGAGCCAAAAAATCAAAATAAAACTTTGTAGGTTCTTTGGGTACGTAGCGATTACAGCCTTGAGAATGCCCCGTGGGGCCTCTGGAATGTGTAGAGGGCATCTGCACTTAATTGTATTTTTCCCTGTGCTGCTTCTGTCCTGTCCACTTTACAAAAAACGGATCTTGACCTGGAGTCTATGAACCTCTGAAATGACATGCAAAATGTTGTATGTTTATACTTTTCTTGGGCGAAGATCCCTAGGTTTGGACAAATTCTCAAAAGGGTCTCCGGCCCTGCCCTTAGTCTCTTCCTTCCCCAAAAAGAACACATTAAATTTATTGCTTTAAACAGAAAAGTTGGAGGCATCTAGAAAAGTCCTCCCTGGAGGTAGCAGAGTCAAAGGAGGTGATGACTTAGCGTTCTGTTCTCCGGAAGCTCAGGTTTCTGGGGTTCCTATTAACAGGGTGTTAATGAGCAGAGCTTCCTAAGGGGGTGGCAGGAAGTGGTGTGCTGGTGCCCTTGAGGGAGGGAGCCTGCGAGTGAGCAGCGTTTCCTTGCCACTTGGATTGCATTTAGATGTTTCCTGTGTTGTTTACATTCCTGCTGTCACCTGTGATTAGAAGCAGTTACCCAGCGCTGACTGTATGTCTTTCCTGTTTGGAGAAGGCGGAGTGAGTGAAAGGCAAGAACGAGTGGAGTGGGAATCGTTGCTGGAGGGGCTGGGAGAAGGAGGGGGATATCCTGAGTGCGCCTGGTAATCTGGCTTCGAATGCATCCCTCTACAGCATCCTCAGAATGGGAGAGTTGAGCGTTGGGTGCATAACAGTGGTGTCAAGTGGTATTTATGGAGGGAAGAGATGGCAGGGGGTGGAGGGTGGGGAGCAGTGGAGAAGCAGGGAGAGAAAGGAGGGGCTTGCAGGTGTGGAATGATCGGCTTTGTCCACCGCATTGCTGGGGAGTGAGAGCCCAGAGAGTGAGATGGAGTTGGTGCCCGTGGTGGGTAATTCAGGGTTATCCTCCATCGTCATCCACTTTCTGTCGATCTAGCTTTATGGTTTCCAAGCCCGACTTGCAGATGCATCTCCTAATGTGACCTTCGCAGCAGCCCCTGGAGGGTTGTTGTGACATTGGGAAAAATCACTTAACTTCTTTATGCCTCAGTTTATTCATCTGTAGGATGGGGGTAATCATAGAACCTCCTCACAGGATTGCTTGGAGAGTATAATGCCAAGCATCTAGTCAGTTGTGCATAAATCTTACCTCTTATTATTAGCATTATCATCACCTCCATCTGGTTGGCAAAATAACCAAGGCTCAGAGGAGGCAACTGAGAGACCCAGAGCTGAGCAGGGTCTCAGGACCGTTGATTTCAAATTCTGCTTTCTCTGCTGTGTCCAGATGGTATTGCGTTTGTTAAAAGGAGCACTGCTGGCTGTTTATTTTCTGGTGGGTGATGCCCATTTGAATTTGGCACCTGGTGTGCAGTGTTAGAATTCATAATCCTGGGAGATTCCAGAGTTGTCCCCAGGTGCTACTGTTGTCCTTTTAGTTTGCAAATCAATGAAAGTATTTTTTGATCTGCTGTGTGTCAAGCCCTGTGATGGGGGCTCACACTGGTATCGTCTCATTAACTCTCAGAGCTGGGCAGGGAGAGGACTGGTCATGGTAGAGGTGGGTTTGAAACGCAGGACTTTGGACTTCTGGGTGGAGGCCCAGAGGATGTGCCAGAAAAAGTTCTCTATTTTTAACCAGATCCCTGTTGCTGTGGGTGAAGCCTCTTCCCTTTTTCCAAAAGGGAGAAAAGAAGGTGCTGGGCCGCGGAGATGATGGGGTGGCGGTTCGTCTGGGATGGGCACGGGAAGAGTGTGTTGCCGTTGTGAGGTGGAGGACGGTCTGTTGGAGGGCCCGCTGCTCAGAGTGGCTTTGGGACGTCATTGTTGGCTCTCCAGGAGTCCTGGTGGGCACTGGCAGGAAGGAGCATGGGCAGGGCCTTGGTGCATGCACATTCCTGCCCCCAACCAAGCCAGGACCTCTGCGAGCACCCTCAGACCTGCCAGAGCTGAAGATGCCTGCAGTGGGGGCAGGACCAACTCTAAAATGTGTGGTGCCCAGAACTAGAGGAAAGGCAGGGCCTCCTATTCAAAGATGATTGAGAAGCTGGCCTGAGGGGCTGCAGCCTGTGGAGGGGGCATACATGCCAGGAAACCTCAGCAGGAGAGAGCCGCCATCCCACTGCCCTCCCTCTCATCCAGCGCCCTCCCACTCCGCGTTGCTGTTTCTGTGTGGTTGGGAGCACCGGCCCATACCCATGTCCCACCCCCTCAAGATACCTGAGGAGGCATTTCTCTTTGAACTGGGTGCTAAAGCTAGTGTAATACTTCACTGCATTTAGAACATTTAACGCAGTGAAAAAAAAATTGTTTTTTAAAAAGAAGAACATATCACAGCAGAGGCACAGATCATGTATGTGGAGTGAGCCAGCCGCACATCTGTGGCCTGATGGAGTGTGCATTTGGAATCAGGTGATAAGCACAAGGAAATAAAATCCTCATGAAGCCACCTTGCCCCAACCTTACCTTCACCTCCTCGGTTCCTGCTGTCCATGATCTTATCAAGAGGAAAGTGCTGTAGTGGCAGAAGTTGAGGACATCTCCCTGGCTGGTGCCGCCTCCTGCTCTCTTCTTAAAGAGACCCAGACAATCAACCCAGAGTTGTTGTCACAGCACATGCTTGGCACTTGTCCTCAGACTCCTAGCCCAGCCCTGTGGGGTGGCCTGGGGCCTCAACTCATCCTCACCCCAGGAATTTTGACAGCTGCCTGTGTGTCCTTGGAGCTGTGTGACATGAGCTGTGTGACATTTGCTGCTCAGGGATAACCACAGGGAACTGGGCTTAACATCTGATGAGCGTCAGGTGGGCCAGGCTCCCAGGCCCCATTCGGTCTCCACTTGCTGTTAGGAGCCACAGGTCAGAGCAGAATTTGCACTCTTTGCTCCCACTGGTCACCTCCTGTCCCTGCTCCCTGTTGGTCTCTGTTGGGGCAGGGATGCCCTCAGTTCCATCTGCACGGCGGCAGCCTGTATCTCCCATCCACAGGAGCACCAGCCTGGGCCTCACTAGCGCCACGGGAGAGAACCCGGGACCTAGGAGAGAATGAGCCTCCTGCAATGTATGTCTTCCACCCTGCAGGCAGGAAGAGGGTCCCGCGTTCAGTCTGTGACTCCCAGTGGGTGGAACCCTGGCGATGTGGGGGCTCTCACCTTTCTCCTTACAGGCAGGGCTTCCTCCAGCTTCTGCTGCTCCCATGACATTTTTCCTGGGGCACATTCCCTAACTCTCTGAGCATCTCAGGTTCTTCCTCTAAAAAATAAGAGACCTGGGATTGATGAGCCCCAGGACCTGAAGTATGTTTCTGGCCTTTAGCTTTTTAACTGTGAGAATGTTCAAGATGAATTCCTTTGCTATTTGTGTGAGTGGGGAGGGAGCGAGCAGTTGTTGCAGCTTGGGTTCCCTGGGAAGCAACTCTAGGAAGGGATTAGCAAGTGGGAGGCTTATCCAGAAGTGCTCTTGATCAGGAGAGGGCAGAGGCAGAAGCTGACTTGAGATGCCCTTCTGCAATGGGGTGGTCCTTCAGGGGTCGCCAGCTGGGGGTGGGAGTGGCATCCTTGATGCCTGCACGCTGGCCTGTCATCGGGTACAGCTCACCCCGTGAGGCTGATGTGACCTGGGCTTTCCCCGGGGAAATCCTGGAGGGGACTTCCAGCTGGGGACTGCCTTCCAGCAGCACTCCCAGCAGCTGGGAAAGAGGTCCTTCATTCCTGAAGGGGATCTAAGCATCCTGACGCAGCACCCACTGTGATGGTGTGGGGAGTTCTGTTGCTTTCTAAGCAGGCCATGTTAGCAGTCTTGATAGAAACAGCCAACACTTTCTGAGCACTTACACACCAAGTGCTTAGCACAGTGCTGGCACCTACCATTGAATCTTGATGACAAACAGCCATAGGTGAACCGAGCTGCCCAGAGTCACACACTGGTCAAAGCAGAGCTTGGACATAAACCCAGCCTGTCTGACTCGGAGCTCAGGCTCTTACACTCTGCAGCATTGAGCAAGGCAACTGGTTAAAGCAGAGGAGTTGGTCATTTTAAGGGTTTAGTATTTCCCCATTTTGTGTCCTTCTCCACTCCAGCCTTCTTGCTGGATGACCATGCTCCTTCATTTCCACTTGGAGAAACTAAGGCACGTAAGTTTGAAATATTGCACAGCAGATTCCTGCAGCCAGATAAGGAGCAGAGCTATAGTTAAAACCTGGATGCCAGCCGGTGCAGTGGCTCACAACTGTAATCCCAGCACTTTGGGAGACCGAGGCGGGTGGATCACCTGAGGTCAGGAATTCGAGACCAGCCTGGCCAACATGGTGAAACCCCGTCTCTACTAAAAATACAAAAATTAGCCGGGTGTGGTAGTGGGTGCCTCCTGAAATCCCAGCTACCCAGGAGGCTGAGGCTGGAGAATCACTTGAATCCAGGAGGCGGAGGTTGCAGTGAGCCAAGATTGCGCCATTGCCCTCCAGCCTGGGCAACAAGAGTGAAACTCTGTCTCACGAAATATAAAACAAAA